ATACAATAATTTGTCCAAGCACAAATCAAAGGAGAACAATGTATAAAAAATATGTTTAGGGTCATACCTCATTAAATAAATTGAGCATACAGACAAGTGTTTTACAGCACTTGTTTGTAACAAATGTGTACAAGTGGTATTTCTGCTTGAGGATGACATCTGAATACATGTTTGTTCTACTATGTAATATCCTTTATGTATGATAACTAAGCCTATGTCCACATGAAAATGTGCTGCAAAAGAACCTACAGTAGAAGCAAAAACATTTACTTTGACTTCCTCATCTTGCTTCATTATCTTCTTGATTCTTGCTAATGGTAACTCTTGAACTTTGAAATCATTCTGAGAAACAACAGATGAAAAAGTGACTAAAAACTGACTAACTTCAGCTCTAGTTAGCAAAGACAGAGTATATTGGAATATAACAAATGAAGTGCTAAGGGAAGAAGAAAGCTGGCCTCATCATTATCACTGTGTTTAACATGTATTATAGATGTGACGGAATATTTTGTCTGTTATTGGCAATGATGAAAAAAGGAGAACTTAGGTCTTGTGGAAAATGGAATCCACTGAAACTATCACCACTAAGAAAGCTGCATATCAAGTGCTTTATCTATATGTACCATAACTGCTCCATGCTGGATTAAATAAGCTCACTTCCTTGAAAAAGTCTTCAAGTATTTCAGAACTCAATTCTTCATTCTTGAAACTACAATCATGATTCTTGAAAATCAAAATTCAAATTTCAAACTTACAAGCAATGAGGATTGAGTTTTGAATCTAGAATGTCTACATTTGAGCATTACTTCCCATGTACTACTCTAAAACTTGTTCATACAGTGATAATGTTGTCTAATGGGCTAAAAGTCCCTGTCTTTATACACTCCATCATTCAGAGTACTTACTGTATTCATATTTCTGATTTCTTGCATTTGCCTTGGCCAGAAAGTGGCTAGAAGTTGTGCTGCTTCAGACTGACCCTGAGTAGGACATGAACCACAATAATGTTATCACAATGGACTCAACCAACAGGACACAGAAGAGGAATATTTTCAAGTTCTAAAACTAACATTTTGATCTGCTTTAAAAGAAAAATCCAGTTTTATACTCAGTCAGAGTTGCAGCTTTTTACCACAAAACTGAGAGTCAAGAGATGTTTTAAACAAAAAGAAACCACCTTATCATCTATTCAAAAACAAGCACCAAATTTTACAAAGTTGATAAAAAGCATTGCCTTTCAGGCACAACAGAATTTCAGAAGGGATCAATCATTCTGTTGATGATTGTACCAGTCTCATTGAAGGTAGTATTTTAGTACAATAAATAGCATAGGATGTTCTCACAATACATTTTTTTTGTATCAACTTTGGAGAATTTTTCCTCCCAACTCTCTAATAGCTAATATGAAACAGATACATACACCAATCAGAATGAAGAATTTTCTTTCGAAAACTAATTAATTTTCTTAGGACAAAATTAGTTTTCTACAAATTGGTCTCCAACATTATTTGCTGGGAAAAATTATACATAAAGCTCTAAATGTGCTGTGATATTTAAAAAAACTTTAAGATAGTACATGTTACATTTCTAATATATATTATATTAAATGGGAACATAGAACAAAAGTTATTGTGAGTGGTTGTAAAGATAAATCTTGGTTTTTCTGTGTGCCAACATTTTCAAATTTGTGATCTTTGAAAAACACATTTGTGTCAACTTTCTCTGTTTGTTTTTTCAGCATCTTACTCCTTTCAACAGCTTGATTCTCTGTACTGGCCAGAAACATGTACTTAAAATGTTCATTGTTTTTATTGTGATCTGTATTGTTATGAAAAATTATCTAATATACATGTACTGTTGGTGATGCAGTATTAATCCACACTGACGGAAAGCAGTGACTAAATGATAGCTTCACAAGCTAAGAGCACTTTCGAGCAGAATCAACTGCACACCTGTGAAATACTTGTAACATTTTCTCCAGTTCGTGCCCACTTAAACCCAATTTGTTTCCTTAAGAGCACTCGGATCAATCCTCGTTTCACAGATCGCACATATCGTACAGCAATAGAGTCGAAATTCAATTCATATATTAATTCAACACCTGTCTGAATATCACAGATCATGTAAATATTTAGTTCTGAATAATGACAGTCATGTCCAAGTACGCTTATTTCGTGGAGCGAAGAACAAACTGTGCAAAATAATTCAAATAAACAATGTAGAACAATGAGTGCAGCGCGTGTTGATAAGAAAGATCTAGCAAACAGCTGATGACATAAAGCCGGTAGCAAACACAAAACAAAGAGAAACTGGAAAGCATGTGGCTGATAAATAGGGCTTACTGCTCTTAATTTACTGCTTGAAAACACTTACCGTAGGTGCATACACTTCTCCCATATCAAATTGTTGTCTTGAAACACCCAAACCGTGGAAGGCAAGAAAAAGATCGCTTTGAAACAATCTCGTTTCACTGTTTACACTAGTTTTATCAATATGGCGTCCTCTCTTCCTTCTCGTCCCAGACCCTCAACTCTTGTGCTGCACGATAAGCAGCATGGGTAAATAGCCGCCATTTTGTCTCTTCATTCAAGCTTGAGGATTTTCTTCTCTATTTTAAATTAAAAATGTCCTCAATGGATACTTCTATGGCCTTTAAGACTTGGGAAATGTCCAATAACATGGAAACAATTAACAGCGTAGATGAAATTTTTAAGTATGACCGCCAGCAACAGCAAGAAATTCTGCAAGCAAAACCATGGCAGAAAGAGTGAGTTCCTCTATGAAGTAATTGAAATTGTCATGGCTTTTGTGTCAAATCATTTAGCGTATGGAAAATCTTATGTATATTGGGGCATCTGACCATTGCAAAAACCTCGAATGTTCATTTTTATGCCTTGACAGCAAAAAATTAGTACATGGTATCCATGTATAATTTACCACTTACTAACTTCGATTTCATTATTATTCGATCTATAGCCCTCACTACTTCAAGTACATTAAAATTTCAGCGCTGGCCTTGTTGAAAATGGTAGGAAACTGTTTACTCTTCTAGACAGGCAGCTGACTTATTTTAAGCCCTTTCATATTCCTATAGAATTATACTTGTCCTGGATTTTCTATTTGAATAATTTATATACATGTACACCACTCTAACTAACCAAGTTTGTGGTCTGTGTTGTGTTACATCATGATTGAGTTTTCTGCTTGGAGTTGTGGCCTGAGTGCTAAGCATGCAGGCCATAACTCCAAGCAGACCAATACAAAGTTAAGGTTCCTTTCACACTAAACTCAGCTGACCTCTCGTATCCCAAGTACACATCAAGGCAAGAAAGAGGAAAAAAAAACATCATCTTTTACAATAGATTATGGATAATATCTCTCTATTTTTTCCATCCATCACACGTAATACATCATAGAAGATGGCTTAATCAGTCGAATAGTTGTGTTAAGTTTGTTTCTTGGTTAAGAATGAGGCTGGTGAGCATCTTACATCACACATTAAGGACCAGACACTATTCTCTCTTATAATCAAATTTCTTTGCGAGTAATTACCTGCATACCATTATTATGAGTAAATGTACATGTACATGGTTGGTAGGGAGGTAAATAACCCTTCCAAGGATAAAACTTAGTCTGGCATGAGACTTTCTTTTTATTTATTAGGTGATGCATGCCAGGTCAGGGGGTACATTGGAAGTCATGGGACTAATGTTGGGCAAAGTTGATGGCAACACCATGATTGTCATGGATGCATTTGCTTTACCAGTTGAAGGAACAGAGACAAGAGTCAATGCACAAGCTGCAGCTTATGAATACATGGCAGAATACATTGAGTCATCTAAATTGGTAAGAAAAAGCCTTTATTATGTTATGAGGATTGTTGCTAACCTTCATTCAGTGATATGATGCACACATGGCTTTTATTGATTGCATTAAATGCTTTCTGTCGCTGAAAATGAACTTGCATAGAGAAAAACTATTCAGAAATAAAAAAGCACAAAGTATGCTAAAAGGTGTAAATCTTGGCACTGCAGTTGGTTATGGTTTGTGTCAACCTTACTTTCAAGACATAAACATACAAGGCGCTAGGGTGAAAAATACAATTTAGCAATATGAGTCTCGTCCATGGCAGGTTGGTCGTCTGGAGAATGCCATTGGTTGGTATCATAGTCACCCTGGCTATGGTTGTTGGCTGTCAGGAATTGATGTTGGTACACAGATGGTGAATCAACAGTTCCAGGAACCTTTTGTTGCTATTGTGGTTAGTGTAACAGTAAAACAGTAATTGGTTTGAATGTAGGGGTAAACAGGATGTGAAATTTTTTTTTTTTCTGATAGCCACTTGGCTCCTAAATTCTTCAAAGTGGTAGCCAATTCAAAGAAATTTGGTTGCCATTTTCAAAGACCAACAAAACCCTTTTTTTTACGCTGTCAGCATTCTAGATAGACCCTCCAAAATTATGTAAGGAAAAAGATCTTTAACCTGCTACAAAGTGGACACTAGGATTGATGGTATACAACCTTCAAGTTCACCTGCAACTTAAATCCAATATGGTGTCTAGTTATCAAGATGCATGTGCTGCATTTTGGAATCAAACTTAACGAGGAAGTTTGCCGTGGATTTATCTTTGCAGATCCTAGTAATTCACTATATCTACAAGTTAAGTCATGATGAAACATTCTAGTCGCCAATTTGGCAACTAATTTTCAGGATTTGGTCACCAAAGTGAAAAATTTAGTTGCATTGGTGCCTGCATTAGGCGCAATTTCACACCCTGGTAAAACATGATCATGTAGTGTGATTGTCCAGCTGAGACTTCTACTCAGGTTGTTGAAAAGTCAGTGGTTACTACCGACATCAGTCTCTCTCAGGACTACTTTCTCATGGACGATACGTGTTCACATCCAACAGTAATATCAATAAATAACAACAAATGCAAATTTCAACTTGTGCATTTAAACTTTATAAGTTCCTTTTAAAAGCTTTCTTGATTGACACTCTACTTGCCCTAAACCTTAAGGTCATCTGCTTCTGCCATAGATTGATCCCACACGAACTATTTCAGCTGGAAAGGTAAATTTAGGAGCATTCCGCACATATCCCAAGGTAAGATTGAGGAGAAATTTGATGATAATAAGGACTGAGGAAATTTTTGTTTTAGAGGGAGCTAAATACTTATGCTAGTTAAATGTTTCCTTTGGTATCCAGGGATACAAGCCACCAGATGAAGGACCTTCTGAATATCAGACTATTCCTTTGAACAAGATAGAAGACTTTGGAGTCCATTGCAAACAGTAAGCAGACACTCCCTAACAGTTATATGTTAAGTGCAGAAGAGAACCGATAAATGATGATTTTATTCATAGTTTAAATACTGACATTCTATGAACTGTGCCCAGGACTTAAATTCATATAATTACATCTCTGTCCTCTTAATTTTCATATGACAAGGAAGTCAGGGAAAAAATTTCGTCTGCTTGTCTCAGTTAAGCAGAGATGTGAAAGATGGTTTTCAGTAAATTAGAAAGTGCTTATAAACCCCTTGTAAGCACTACTGGACAAGAAACTTAATGTATAGAGGACCAAAATCTGAAAAGCACAGGATGAAATGAAAGAAAAGTTCATTGATTTGGGAAGAATAATCCATATTGTCCGTATAACTGCCATATTTTTAAATATTTGCAGATATTATTCATTGGAGGTTGCATATTTCAAATCAGCATTAGATAGAAAGCTTCTTGAGATGTTGTGGAATAAATACTGGGTAAATACACTGTCATCTTCAAGTCTACTTACGGTGAGTGGATAATGCAATGCTTTTTTCCTACGCTTAAATTCACTTATTTTGGCCTTTTCAATACTGAGATCTTTGGTTGCACTATCAATTACATTTCATGTAAGTAAATCCAAGAGTAGCATTTTGTGTAACAAATGGATCCAGTTTCTGTAGTATTCATGGCTGTGTATGCATATGTGTTTTGGCTGGCAGTTTAGCCTGTATGCATATGTGTGTTGGCTGGCAGTTTAGCCTGTAACCCTGCATCCTGTTCTGAGTGCTGTGTTTCTTTTATTTTCAGAATGCAGACTATACCAACCATCAAATAGCAGATCTCTCTGAAAAACTAGAACAAGCTGAATCTCAAGTAAGAAAAAGTCTCATTTTTCAAGGGGGAATGAGGGAATGCAAATTGCATTTCATTCAATGAAACAGAATTGATTCTACTTCTATATCATAGTTGGTCATCTTCTTTGATTCCTCTGTGTTTAAAAATTTCATTTTCTTTGATTAAATATTCTTCCAATTGTAAGTTATTTACTTTGAAATCAAATTGATGCCATATGCTTTTCATAAGTTTTTCACTATTAGCAAACATACATGTATCAAAACATTCTAAACATTGTCTAAATCACATGTGGTTGATTTGCAAAGTGCCTTGTGTCTGTTAGGTAGGTCGCATGGGGAGTTTCATGATTGGTATGGATCAAGACAAAAAGGAGGAAGGAAAGTTGGCAAAAACCACTAGAGATAGGTATATTGAAAAACTTACATAATTGATTAAGGGGGAACATTTCTGTGGTGCTGCATTGCTGGGGAGTACAACAAGATAATTTGGTGTTATCAGTTGATTTGATAGCAGAAATTGGCCACCCTAAGGTGTTTCTAAGCTGGTGTTTTGAGCATTAGCCCTTTGTCAGAGGAAAGTAACATAGTTATGTTATGATGAGTAACATAGTTATATGATGAGTGATGATGCCAGGTCTTTCCAGTTTCCCAGGCAAATAGGGACAAGAAGCATCCACACTGATCCTAAAGGGGATGCTATGGCATGGCAGGTTCCCTCTGAGAAATTCATCAAGTTTCCCTGAAATTTTGCCATTTTATACACCTGGGTGAAGGATGGGTATTACTAGAGTGAAGTGTCTGGGGCAAGGACACTGGAAAATAAGCAAGTTATGGCTTAACCCAGGATCTTTCAACCTGAAGTCAAAAGGGTTAATTAATCATTATGCCAAAATATGATGTTGTGCCAAACACTATTGTCATTCTTAACAGTACTAAAAAGGTTTGCAAAGCAATTTTTTTGATAATGATATGCATATTTGCTGCTTTATAACTTCTTTTTTTCAGCTCCAAAACATCCATTGAGGCTATACATGGTCTCATGTCCCAAGTCATTAAGAATAAACTCTTCAATCAAGTGGGTGGAAAGGAGTCAACTTAAATTCCAAGTAAATTTGTTGCTAAGATTTCAATGTCCTTTGCTCACACTAAGATTGTTACAGAAAATCTTGAAGAAAATGTAAATATATTTGTAGAATAAAGTGTTAAGTTTGTACCATGTGTTTGCATTATGACTGACACAATTCAGATGCCTGCTTCTATCAAATTATTTTTTGCTAAAATTGATACCTGGGCTCATGCACAGGTTATGAAAATTTAAAATGATGTGTTATTTTGTAGCCTAGTGCAGACCTGTTTAGTTAGGGAAAGTCTGAGAAAGCTCAACTAATTCAGAATATGGCTGAAGACAAATTACAATTGTTATTTATTTAATGGCAAATGTCCTAAGGGTTTGATTTGGAACCCTGTGTAATTCCCGTAAATCGCATGCACTTGATGCACAGGAGAGGGGGGAGGATGCTACAGTACACTCAAGGGGTAGTGTACTTGAAATACTGCCATGCCTTTGACCAGTAAGAGATATTGGTAATGAACAATTGAATGATGTTTATTGATTCAATGGCAAATTTTCTAAAGGATTGATCTGGAAACCTGTTTAATTCCCACAAATTACACGCGCTTGACATCAGTGGCAAGGGGGGAGGTGCTGCAGTAGATGCAAGGGGTACTGTATTGAAGTGCTGCAGTGCCTTTTACCACTTAGGGATATTGGTAATGAGCAATTTGATGATGTTTAAAGAAACTGATTTCTGGAAAAGGAATGAATGAAGGGAAAAGAATTGTTGTGAATGATCTGGTCACTTCCAACTGTGCTAATTATAAAACTTGTTTATTTGTTCATCTGGTCTTTTTAAGTGAAGTTTTTGGGGACATGCAAGTTGCAGTGGAACATATAAGCATCAAATTGTTATCTTATGAAAAATTATTATCACTAAGAGAATTAAATGGTACTTAGACCAGATTGAATTTTGGAAAAGGAGTAATCCATAGCAAAGACCATGTTTATGATTTCAACTTCCTTTATTGAGATTTTTTTTAAGTTTCCAGTACTAGATTTAATTATTATTGTTTTAAACAGGTTTGTTTCCTTTAATGATCTTTGTTTGATAAGCCATGTCCTTCCAGGCTGCAAATTAAAAATATTAAAATTAGATTTTCTCTTTTACCAAACACTTCAAAACTACTTCTCAACAAGTGCACAGCACACATGTAGATGGGGTGTATTGCAGACCGGTTGGGTCTGTTTTATTTCTCTTGAGGCTCTATATTCCTGTTGCTTCACTGCCTGAAGGGTGAGGCAATCTCACGAAAATTTGCTGCTTGGGATTTTAAATTCCACTGTCATGTTGCTATCTAGAATAAACACAAGCTTTCTGTTAATGTTTGCTATTTCAGAAGAATCAAAACATTCTTACCTTCTACTAAACTATCTTATAAACAAAGTTTGTCCAATGCTTTCCAACCCCCTCCCAGCAGTCCTCAGGTGGGGCAATTCCATATTTGTCATACTGTATCTTCTCTGGGCTGCCACTCCAGCATTCTCCATAGTACTGAAGACCAAAAATCTAACACAATAACAGTTATTTAAAGATAATTGAATCGCGTTATGCACCCATCGATTCACAGCTTCAACCCCAGACAACTCATGGGCATTTGAACCTTGCCAGGGTGGGGTGAGGCATTTGAACTGGAAGTGTAAAGTCTTTTCAGCTTAATACTCATGCTTTAATGTAGGAGTTTAAAGGTAAAGAGTCTGCTGTGGTGAGTGAATGGATTAGAAAGACAATTTTCATATTGTCAGGAGCTCCTGACATTGTAGAATGATACTTAAAGAAAAAAACCTAACAGCGGCACCAGAAACGAAAACGAGACTTCTACAACATTCGTTGATGACACAGAGAATTGTACAATATTGGGTGAGCCGTTAGGAGGCAATTTTTGCTCAAGGTTGGTGGGGGGGGGGGGGGGGAGGAACTTGAACAAGCCAATCTTCAAAAGTTCAAGTTTCCAGGGGGCTGCCTGTGGGATGGTAAAGCTTCGAATTGATTGATGCATTTTATACACAGTTTATTAGAGTCGTTCTTAATCACTCTTAAGGAGAGCAAAGTAAAGGATGGGACAGGAGATGAAAAACTCCGTATTTGTAACATTTATAAAAAAAAAACAAAGCCCCCCCCTACTTCTTCTTCCTCTTCCCACCCCTATTTAAATTATGACCAGTCACAAAGTTGTAAGTCAACTCTTCAACAGCCAGTGAGGAGTTGCAGTAAAGTGAAGGACAAGAAAGTTAACCATCTTGAGCTCCATTCAGGCTTGGTTAAGTATATTATTCTGAATATTATTTTGATGGATGCTCACGCAGCACGCCCTAAATTCTGTCACGCTTTCTTTCCCATTCCCTTCCGTTGGAAAGAGGGAGTAACGGCGACGATGGAGGCTACCTCAGATCTTAGTGGTTTAGAGAGGTGGATTTAACCCTTTCACTCCTGGGAGGGTCCAAAATATCGAATGAACACCAAATTCTCATCGCGAAAATGTTAAAAAAATGTACGACAGAGAGTGAAGAGAATTGGTTTTCAGATCATGGGGGTGAATGGGTTAAAACCCAGAGTTCACAGTTTGAAATACAGAATGTACGTATCGGTAGCAAGGAAGCTCCTCTGCTGAGTCTGAGAATATTTACCCATGAAATGATTAATCAACTAACTTTACTCTCCGTTTATGAGGGGTTACGAAGGGTTGGCGATCGCCTAAAACTACTACAGCGCTGCTGAAAACCATGAAGATTTTGTGAACAACTTATCCGCTGTTGATACGAAATACGCTCAGATTTTCCTAATGCATACGAATGGGCATCCTTTATGGTTTTACGTGGACTTACCGCGAGGTTTAGCTTTTGCACTTCTTTGGCGCAGTCGCCGATGGTGTTTTCTATGTGGTACCAGTCTATATGTCCTCGAAAGTTCTTAACTAAATCGGGAAACGCACGCGCAGAGACGCTGTCCAAGTAACAACCGACGGCTTCCACTATAGGATAAAAAGAAATCCACGCTTATGCTTAAAGTCCTCCACATTCAGAACCACGTGGGATCGTACTGTCAGCTGTTCGCTACTTGGGTAGGTTTTGATTATAGTTATAATAGCTGATAAGCTAACGTACCTCAAAACTATTTAAATGTGGAAGTAGAGCGTCTTGCTTTAACCTTTTAACCCCTTAGAGTGACTAGCATCAAATTTCTCCCAACAATAACACCTTGAATCACGCGAGAATAGAGGAAATGATCACAATGATTAAAGAGGCCTTTGATTGTTAGACAAATTCTCCTTGTCAGCACCATAGGAAATTTCTGGTAACAGTATGGAGAATATACATTCTGATGTTAGGGTGTACACGGTTAATACCCTTTCCGAGCTGACGCTTGTTTTCCTTTCTCACACTTTCTGGGCTTTCTCCCCTCCCCCCCAGCCTTTTCCGTCCCGTTAGAGAGATTGCGCGAGATATCATGATAGACTGTGTGTCATGTTTTTGAAAAGAAGTGACTTACGGCAAGGATAATCCTTAAAGCTTATATCATCCAGTGCAATGTCACTTCGGAAACTTGATCCACGAACTGCCTCGAATATCACCTGCAGAGAAAAAAAGTCAATAAGTCACTTCATCAGTTAAGGTGGAGAAACACGGTTTAAGAAGCAGTTCACATCGCTTTGATCGTCCCAAACCATTCTATATCGTCCAGTAGCAATGTCTTGGTTCGCGTGGGGAGAGGGTAAAAAATACGAACACAAAGTGTGATCGTGTATGGGCAGATCTGCATTGAGGTGACTTTCAGGAAAGATACTGATTTAGGAAATACATTTCACCCTCACCCCCCCCCCCAAAAAAAAAACATTCCAAGCTGTTTGTGTCATTGGAAGACGCTTGGTTTCATGCACCAACGAGGTCCTAATCTGATTGAAGGATGCTTTTTTGAGAGCAGATCAGAATTTGGTCATAAAAAGGGTTAGTCCTAGATAAAGACAATTGCGTCGGGTAGAGGACAATTGAACTCGTGCAAATATTTCCGAAAGGACTTTAAGTTGAGGATTAAGCTGGGTGTAAAAAAGACTTAAAAAAAGACTTATAAGTTGTGTTTACTTGGTATTGGTACCCCTTGCTAACAAGAGTAACTCTGGCCATTTTCCATTCGTCTCCTTGGTCACCAGACATGGTCCAGACCTTATGTTTGGTACCGTTGATATTGACATACACATTCAAATCTCCCATCCCTGAGCCATACATGTGATACCAAAACGTCATGCAACGACCGTTAGTTGCAGGGAAGGTTCGGCTGACAAGCTGTGCCTGGTCTCCTTTAAGAATACCACTGGTTTCGGCATATAGGTAGTAGCCTAGAAAGAAAGAGTTTAGGTTATAGGTGGCAGCGATAGATTCATTACCGCAAGCTGGCATTGTTTGGTTCTTAGCTCGTGTGGCACCAGATGGAAAAGGTAAGGAAAAGGTCCGAGCAGTTCGTGGGGAACAAATGATAATTGCAATATCGGTATTTTTAAGAAGTCGTGACACCAACTGAAGTTTCTACAATCCTTGAGTTATTTTTAACTCTACTATCGTTTAGACTGCAACCTTTTGTTCACCTTACACAGACACCTTACATAGACGTTGAAAACTCTACACCCTCAGATGTAAGAACAGTATCTACAATGCTTTCTTGTTGAAACTAAATGTGCTGAATTGTCCCTCTGGCGATTCGGTGATGTAAACCCTCATGAAGGACGAATGAATATAAATTTGTGATAAATCTTCATTTTTACCTGGTCCGGATGTATGATCTCCGGATGGTCCAGTACTAGACGAAGGTGTGGTGCCTGAGTTTCGCTCCCAGGTGAAACCTGAGGGATTACTGTCATCTGTCTTCCAATGGCACATCCCATCAAAGTCAAATTCACAATCATAAGGCCCTGAAGAATGATAAAAGTGGGGCCTATATGAAAAAGTTTTGTGCAGAAAAGGCTCTACATATGCAAGAACCGATAGAGAGTGCGATGCCCTATTATAAAGTTACTTAGGCCTAGTAGGATAGCGATACACTTTAATAATGACACGATTTTGTTATGCCATAAAAATACCAAACAAGTCTAGCTAACAATGCAGAAGTTTT